TAGTCTTGCAAACCCAAACAGTGCTTTTTTCAGTAGCACTACTAACTATAAAGGCATAAAATGTAACCATGGCCAGGCTATAAACATCAAGTTTTCACATGTTGTTAAAAAACATCTAAACTCAAAAGCAAACATTTATATATAGTGTAGTTTACTAAACCTTAGATATAGTGGCTGAATTAGTTTTCTTTGTTAGGCTTTTCACCCCCCTTTTTTTACCAGGTAATCTAGCCAGTAAGGCTGTTTTTTTCATCTTCTTTTAACAGAACAAGCTGTCCAACACAAGTGGCAGATAGAGGGTTAAGACAAACCATTTAACACTGACAGGGGTGCTTATAATGGCTAGCTCATTTATGTGAAACCTTTATCATGAAAAAAGGGGGGAAAAAAAAAACTTCCTGTAGCTGCTTAGAGAGTGTTTGCTGGGGTTCAGCTTTAATTTGTTAGTTAAGTCCATCTGAATTTGCTAGTGCATATAACACTACCCTCCCTACAGGTTGGCAATGCTGCTGCCCAAGGGCGGCTCCACTGCTACTCCATAGAGTGTAGCCACCTTATGAAAGGAAGTGTGTTTTTAGCTGGGTTTACCATGTAAAAATAAAGAAAAAAAGCTTAAAAAAGAAAACAAAATGCGACCACATTTAAGGACTATGCTTTAAAAATGCAGTAAATGGCCTTTTAAAAAAAGCCCTTACTGACCTCTGCAGCTACATGCACTGTAAAGCAATTCATCCTCAAAATTCTAAGAAGCACTGAAATCTTTAAGGTCCACTCAGCAGCTCAGACCACCCTGTTCCCACCTCCCAGAGCGTCTACTTTGTGTTTACATGAAAGTGAATGTTACCTCAAAAATAAACATTCCTTGTGTGTGTTTGGTAATGCATATAGTTCCTACTAAATGTAGCCACTTAAGTTTTTATATTGTATGCTGCTGCTAAATACCTGGTGATCCTGTCAGTTCTCCTTGGTTGCTGTATCAATCTTACCAGGCCAAGCACGAAGGCAGATCCATGCTGGAGTGGTCAATTTACATCCCTAGGCTCACTGCGGGAGTAAACAGTGCATTTAACAGCCGTATTCAGTTTTGCGGCCATGTGCTCCAAACAGCCCATCTGCAGCTGCAGCCTGTTGGATGGTAGAGTTTTTAAGGTCCACAGGCTCACAGCATACTTACTGGCCATGTATCTGATTGCAACAGATACATGGAGAGAGAGAACGAGTGAAATTACACTTCCCCTAGGTGTCTTTTAGACTGGGTTCACACCTAGGCGTATCCAATATGCGCGTTTCGGGGCACACGTTTTTTACCGCGATTCGCGGTAAAAACCGCACGACAGACAAAGAGGGCTACTTTGGGCGTAGGACGTTTTGTAGCGCGTTCACACGGCCTGTAATACGCCCAGGTGTGAACCATACCCATAGCAAATAATGGGATTTTCGGTGTTTGAGCGTTTTGCAGAGCGTAGGAACGCGCTACAAAACGCCCAAGTGTGAACCGGGCCTTATTGTTCAAAAGATGTTTATTGCAACATGCACAAAAGCAGTCCAACTGATGGGTGGGCAACAGTAACAAAGCACTAACATACCACCCACATAAAATAAAAAACAAGGGACAGACCGCAACTCAAAATGCTGACTGAAGCTGGCATCAGATGAGGTCTCAACAATCACTTGGTAGAGAACTTGTGAACAGAGCAGATGGCCACGTTGCACATCTGGGAAACATTTACCTGATGCTGAAGAACTCACAAAACTAGTGGAACCTTATGCTTAAGACCTTAAAACTCTAAGTGTAAACAATGACCTGTCTAAGCCACCAAGTAATGGAGTGAGAAGCTGGTATTCCTTTACAGGGACCATCAGGAAGGACAAAAAGAGTCATTCTTTCTAAAGGAACCAGTGGCTGAAAGGTAAACCTGCAAAGCACAAACTACATCCAGGCAGTAAAGGGAAATTTCCTTCTGATGTACTAGAGCCAGACAGAGGTGATTAGTTTGTCAGTAGAGGCTGTGCCATGGCTCTGGACCTGGAAAGTGCTCTGTGGCTAACAGCACTCAGAGGCCTGGAAAGTGCCACAAGCAGTGCCCACTGTCCAAAGGTCAAAAGCAAGGCAGGCCCTGCAATCTTTGTACGGTCTTCAACACTATTGCTATGGTAACACCGATCTGCATAGTTGCATAAGGAGTCCATCTCAGCAGCCTGTAGATAAAGTCTTGCTTGAAGAAAATATAATAATAAAAAAAAAAAGGAGAGAAAAAGTGACTGGTAAGACTAGTAAGACTTCTATCTAGAAAAGATGTCCATCCTCCTGGGACACTAGGAAAAAGCTGCAGCATGATGGTGTTATACCTGGCAAGCCAACAGCTTTCTTGTTAACCAGCAACTAGTTTCTCCTGAAGGCGGCAGCATAACCCAACTGTCTCTAACTAAATTCTGTGACCCTTAGGCCCCATTCACACCTGACCGTTTTGTAGCGTGTCCTACGCTTGATGAACGCTCTACAAAACGGTCAAAAAAATAAATTGCATTGTAGTCAATGGTATCGTTCCCACCTGTCCGTATTTCCGCCCGTCCCGAACGCACTACAAAACGGCCCACGCATGAAAAGGTCCCGGAGCGTTTTTTGCTGCGTATTGGTCCGTTTTGTAGGGCGTTTTCCATTTGTATACTGCCAAGTAGCCTTTGGAATCGTGCGACGGTCGCGCGACTTTTTTACCGCGAATCGCGGTAAAAAAACGCGTGACGGTCGCGCAACAATATTACAATACGCATAGGTGTGAATGGGGGCTTAATGACTGAGGAAAAAATACCCATGCTAAAATGAACTATAGCTATTACACATTTAAAAATCAGTACCGACAGAAATAAACAAATTCCTCAACAGGTTATTTGACCATAGAACAAGCAAATCAAGCTATAATACACTTCTACATCCTATTTTGTGTTGGTGGAAGACAAAATTGTAACCAGTATAATTTATGGATCAAGAAGAACTGAAATAACTGATTGAATTAGCTTGGCAGTAACAAGTAGTCATTTTCCTGAACAATTTTACAAGGATAGGGAGATGCATGTTTTTTTGGTAAACAAAATTAATCAAGTCCGACCAGATAAGGGCTCTCCAATGTTCATGCAAGTTATAGTGTTCTTTCAGTCAGCTGGTTAAGTGGCATGTGAAGTGAAGGTGCTCATACACATTGAGAGATTTACTAAAACTGGAGCAGGCAGAATCTTGAGTAAGCTGTGTGCGTCTCCGCAAACACATAGGCATAGCAAGGCAAGCCACTCCCCTGCTCCCTTCCTGGCTAGTAGATGAACAGCTGCTGGAGACTGTCTGGTCCTTTTGATACTGGGCAGAAAGTTCAGGGAAGTGGAGATGAGAGTTGGAGCCAACTGTTTGAAAACATGACGACTGTAGGTGCTTGGGCACAAAAAAATATAAAAATACTCTGCTGGGTATTGTATATTTGTTTGATCTGGATTCATTATTAATAAAAAGCTTGAGCATTTAATACTACTTTAAGTTTTGAAAATGAAAGAAAGAAACTGATTGGCTGCCATGTAGAGCTGCCCTGATTTTATTTGTTCCAGCCTTAGTACATTCCCCTTATTGTGCGTTTTCCCTTTTCTGATCAGAATTTCAGAGCAGTATAACGGCTCAGAGGTCAGCCCTGTGATATACACAGTTTATGGCTCCCACCTTTGTTTGCATGGGCTTCCTCTGTGTGCTCTTGTTTACTCCTACAATTCAATAATATAATGATTTATTTTTGCAGTTACATTTGAAAAAAAAAAAACACGATGAGGGAAATTCATCAAAACTGGAGCAGATCTGCATGGCAACCAATCAGCTTCTCTCTTCAGTTTGTTTAGTTAAGATTTAAAAATGAAGGACAGAAGCTGATTGG